TAGCATTCGTCACCGATCTTCTCGGATCCGCTGTTGAGGGTATGGAAGATCTGAGCCAGGTACGTCTCCACACCCTCTACTTTTTGTACTTCTGCGCCGACTTCGAAGTTCTTTTAAAGCCCAACAGTACTCTTTAGACTCAACATTCCAGCGTTTGTCATCTTTCTTCCGTTAATGTATCGTAGAAGTAGTAGTAGCGACGATTTTAAACTATCATGATACATTAAATATCGTGGCTCGCAGAGCGGCCGACTGACAGGATAACTTGATTCTCTCAGGAGAAAGAATCAGACTTTAATGGTTCCTTAATGTGACCTCAATGGTGAGATCTGAGCTGACCCTTTATTGTTTCCACGAGACTCTGTATTATCGCCCCCTAGCAAAAACAACATCTGTAACAGCGGTCGTGGTATTATTGCTATTATGAACTCTACTACTAATACCGCTGTTAATATGAGCGGTAGTGTTGCCACTCCTTCAGAGTCTGACTACAAGGAAATTGACTTGCAGTTTCCTCACATTTATCAGTCGCATCGAAAGATGTGTACGAAACTGGACCTCCCTTCGTTATTGGAGCCGATCTTTCGACTTGCGTTGTTGGGCATCACTACGGGTTTCTTATAGTACAAGCCTAAACATGCTTACTACATTTGGAAGAAGTCGAGTGCCATGACAGTTTGACCCACGGCTTCAATGAGGCCCAGTGTGCTTTCCACAGCATTGCGGCGCCGGGACGGTGACCTGCGCCACGCCTACACTCATTTCACTGAATAGGGCTAAAATGCACAGAAAACCACCCTCATACAACAAAAGTCCTCGCAGTAGTTATAGGACGTGAAGCTTGTGTGGGCCATTTAATTGCATCAATAGTTGATGGTCCAGAAAAAGAAGATAACGACTTGGTCGCTGGGACAATACTTTTATTCGCCCGACGTTTTGAGATCCATCGCGGACTCATCATCAGAGATATAAGCAGAGAGCAGTAGCAGATAGGGGTTCAGAGAGAATAGTGCGAACGAATTTGTCGCTCAAACGTTTACCAATTGAGAGGATACTATTTTATACCCTCTCCGCCCGGTGTAGTATAACCTACTTCGCTTTGATTAAAATTCGGATCGCCTTTTGCCCTCAGCTTCTTCGTAAGTTGATTTTCCACACAAAAAACGAGTATTCTGACAAAGAAAGGAAACACGGATGTTAGCACTTTCTAAGCTACACTTGCTCCTACCCCGCTCTCCTCCCGCGTCTACTGACTGTTGATCGGCAAAACAGCCAACTGTTAACCCCTAAGATCACCAGCGTGCATCCTTTAGTAGTCCGGTATGTTGGAAGTGCCAGCGGATAGGTTCACAGCTATTCTAGCGTACCTCCTGCCGATACATGCATCACTGTGTCT